TGCTTAGTGTCTTCTACTTTCTTCAGGTGAAAGTTTAAATTATTCTTTTAAAACTGTTTCTGCCCAGCTGGCATGGCTCAGTGGTTGAGTGCTGACCTATGAACCAGGAGGACATGGTTAGACTCTCAGTCAGGCCTGGGTTGCAGGCTCGATCCCAGTGTGGGGCTTGCCGGGAGGCAGCCAATCAATGATTCTCTCTCGTCATTGATGTTTCCATCTTTCTCTTTCTGTCCCTTCCTCTCTGAAATCAATAAAAATATATATTTTTTAAAAACTTAGTTTCTAATATAAGCCTTTAACACTGTAAATTTCCCCCTTGAAGTACTGTTTTAGGTATATCCCATGAATTTTGGAATGTTGTTTTTCATTTTCATTCAATTCAAAATATTTTCTAATTTCCCTTTAGACTTCCACTTTGACCCATGGGATTTTTAGAATGTTATATTTAATTTCAAAATATCTGGAGATTTCCCAGTTATCTAATACTGATTTCTTATTTAATTCCATTTGTAGTCAAAGAATACAGACATATTCCTAAAAAAATTATCTGCAAAGTAAAATTATGGGAATTAAATTCACTTTTCCAACAGTCAATTAATGTAATGATATTCCCAAGGTTAAGGTGAGATAGGATAAGAGATCAAGTGTTCCAGCATCCTTTCCTCTAAAGGATACATTGGCAGACTGGATTTTTAAAAAAATGTTCTCTCCCAATACTCATCTCAAAACCAAAAAAACCTTTTTGTTATTCTCCTTCTACCCTTTAAAATAAAGGGAAAAAAACTGACTAGGCTTAAGTTTTATCATCTTGACTTCTCATACCCATTCATTATTAACAAAGTTCAAATAATAAAGAACTGGTTAAATCTCAGGACATAAAAAATAAACAGACAAAATATATAGCCATATTTGTTGTTCATATAAAAATTAATATGACGACTATATAAAACTAGAGGCCCAGAGCATGAAATTCATGCATGGGTACAGTTGCTAGGCCTGGCCTGCGATCAGGGCCATCTTCCCCAGCTGCCCACAGCCGGTTCCACAGCCAGTCCCGACCCCTGCCACCACCCCACCCCGGTTCCCCATTCACCATTGCGTGATTGGAGCCTGACAGCCAGGTGAAGGGACTGAGCGG